ATTTGTAAAGTATAAGACGTTTACCACTTGGTGTGATGTCTACATCGCCGTGTAATGGCAGCAGTCTATGGCTGAATTGATAAGAACCTAGTAATAATAAAAAAATTGCGGCTAAAATAACCAAATATCACTCATGTGAGGCTATGTATGAGGATAATAAAAGTACGGGAGATATTTTCCACAGTTATTCCCCTTGCGGGTTGGCAATCGTGGTATTTTATTTTTAAGTAAACCCCGTGCCAGCTCCTTCCACTTGACCGCATCCAGCGCAGAGCGTTTCGAGTGGTTGACGACCGAGTTCTTTCCGATCGGCTCGATTCACTAGCGCTGCGTGGCGATGTTGCATCCCTTTGCATTTTCTATCGAATTTACCACAGGAAGTTCTCTGAGGAATTGTTCGGATTAATTCCAGCCGCCAAACTTCACGAACGCACATAACGTCAAAATTCACGATACCATCCTCACCATCTGGATGCTTGGCGGCCCACCACTTTGCGTTTTACTAGGAGTTTTCTTCCTCGTACAACTTCTCTGTGGAATTGTTTACCAACGAAGATTTTTCCGGACCGATACGACTTATGGACCTTCAAGAAAAGAGCTTACTCCTTTCTAAACGGCCGGCAACGCACCTGCAATTTCCCTGGTCTCCTACTTGTCATCTGCTGGGGTGTGTACTACACCCAACAGGTTTCGGGTCTCGGGGCATTTCCCCCATTTCCCGGATAGTCCTCACGACCCATTTCTATGGGTCGGTCCTTGTTGCCGATAAATCGGAGTAGTTGGTCTTCTGAATTTTTTTTTTTTGGTGTCTGATTGGTGTTCTGTTAAAGGCGCCTAATTCGGCCTATGCCTGAAAAAGGCGCCTAATTTGGCTTATGTCGTCTATTTTCGCCTGGCCAGTTATGTCGACTGTATAATCGACACACTTGGCCTGGGTGTCCAAGTTGGCCTGTCTGCGGCATTGCGGATTTCACTCGACTCTCTAATCACTGTAGGGAGGAGTTCTCTTGGTAAAGGCCGCCCGTCCGGAGGGCGAGTGTGTAGCGGCGCGAAGTTGTTCAGGTGTAAATGCGGCCCGTTGTCAGCGCGGTCGAACATTCCGCGCGACAATCGGACCACAAAATCTTCAATCGATTCCATTTTCAGGTTGGCCGCTATTACATCGTTCCGGACGTAGCGGCCTGCATCAACAATAGTCCGTAATGATAAATTCTGCTGGGCCTGCAGCCGCTGCCTTTGTCTGTTGCTCAAGAGTGCGTACCAGGCTGGAGCGGCGTATGTTAGTTTTGTTCTTATGTATAATTTGTATATTTTCAGCTTTGTTTTCAGTGGCAGCTTGGATGCCAGGACTGGACGCAGCGCAGCCCGCGCACATCTAGCGCTGCGGACTACGTTGTCGACGTGCGCGGTCATGCGCAGCATCCTATCAATCCGGCACCCAAGGTAAGTTACGGCTTTCTGGTACGCAATCTCTTGGCCCCTCAATTCCAACGCTGGTGGTGGCTTTCGGTATCGGCGAGTGAGTAGAGCGGCTGTTTTTCCCACGTTCACTGCCATCCTCCACTCATCCAGCCACGGTGGCAGCAGGTCCAGCAGTCGCTGCATCTTCGCAATGGCGATATGGGGTCTTCTGGACGAAGTAAAGTAGGCACTATCGTCCGCGTATAGCGCCAACTCTACGTCGTCCTCCCATTCTTGCAGGTGTCCAGCGAGAATTGGTATGTCGTTGGTGTAAGCCGCGTACAGGATCGGCGATAAACAGCTGCCCTGTGGTACGCCGGCTCTTATAGGCTTCACTGCGGACTCGGCATCCTCCAGACAGACGTAGAAGCTTCGGTCGGCTAGGAACGACGCCACTAACCGCAGCATAGCGGGAGGGACACTCGTTTGAAGTATCATCTTATAGAGTAATCCAGAGTGCCACACCCTATCGAACGCCTTCTCGATATCTAAAAAGACGCCCACAGATGTCCTTCCATAATTGTGTTCGGCCGAAAGCAGGTGCAGCACTCTGGTCAGCTGTGTAGCTGTAGAGTGTCCTCTCCGAAATCCGTGTTGCTCCGCCCGAAGTTGTATACACGGGCGGACTCTTCTTAGTACTATACGTTCAAACAGTTTGGCTATGTGCGGTAGCAGCGTAATCGGCCTGTAACTAGCTGCTCTACGCCTGTCTTTCCCGGGCTTAGGCAAGACAATAATTTTGCCTATTTTCCAGCTCTTCGGGAAGTGGAAAATCCGCAGAATGCCATTGTAGAGCCTTCCTAGCTCTACAATTGTTTTGTTGGGCAGCTGTCGGAGTGCAGCGTTTGTGATCCGGTCGTGCCCCGGCGCCTTCCTCGGTTGCAGGCGGGATCCCTGGTGTTACGGTTGTTCAAGGGCGGCGGTAGTAACTTACCATCAGGTGAGCCGCATGCTTGTTTGCCCTCTCTTCTGTAAAAAAAAAAAACTTCACCTAGTCGGGTGCCGCACACTTCACTTTTCGGCACGAGGCCGTCATTCGAGAACATTTCTTCCCCATCGAATGTCGGTTCTTTGAGCTATATGACTGGCCCATTGCCACTTCTGCTTACTGGTCTATTTGTAATCTATAAAATAGTCTTAGTTAAATTTTAAAAAGTAATACAATATTCATAAATGTAAAGAATGTTGAGCCATGTTAGATTAAGGGCAAGCATGCGCCTTAACATTTCAGAGTACGCGACTTATCATGCTCGAGCCCTGGCGGAACCAGTAAATTTATTAGTTGCAATTTATCGCTTGCAAGCTGGACACTAAAGGAAAACTTCGTGGGGAAACATGCAAAGGGGTAGTGCTGGGCTTCCAATAGATTAAAGCCTTACTTTCTCGTTTACGGTAGGTGTAAAATAGCCAGACCGACAACTGTAAGTATTGTCAAGGAGGCGAAACATCTAGTACTGTAATCATTAATCCTTGCTAAGCGTGACAATAAGGGTAAATCAGGGAGTATAGTGCCAGAGTTACATCTCTAGCGATTAATAAAAAATCGGGTTGTCGCTATATCATGAACACGGCCGTGTGTTTTACGTGAAGCCGATCTCAAAATGGCGCCCCCCCCCCCCCACTCCGCCGCACGTGATGCGTCTGTGTCCTTATTCACCGTAACGAATTCTTTGATCCTTTCACTGACGAGTAGTGTGATTAAATTTTGAATGCAAATGAGAGATCATCATAATCATCATTACAGCCCTTCACAAGTCCACTGCTGAAGATAGGCCTCCACCAAGGAATACCACAAAGCACGATCCTGAGCCACCTGCATCCATCGACTTCCTGCATGTCTAACCAGGTCGTTTCTCCATCTAGTGGGAGGACACCCTACACTTCGCCTGCCGGTACGAGGCTGCCACTCGAGAACCTTTCTTCCCCATCTGTTGTCGGTTTTTGAGCTATATGACCGGCCCATTGCCACTTCAGCTTACTAATCCGTTGGGCTATGTCAGTCACTCTAGTTCTACTGTGGATATCCTCAATTCTAAGTTTATCATGCAGAGAAACTCCGAGTATAGCCCTCTCAATAGCTCGCTGAGTGACCTTGAGCATCCTCATCTGGCCGGCAGTGAAGGACGACGTCTCAGATTTTACAGTTTTTACAGTTTTTACAGGTTTTACAGTCTCGTTTTCAAGTTTTGAGGTAAACCTGACAAGAAGATGTGCCGCGAAATGAGAGATATGTAGCTGCACTACCAAATTTTATTCCTCGATTTTGTTATCATCAGCTTTCTGACTTGCCTCCAATTTTCTGATGCGACTATGGAATCAAATTTATAGACCTATTTACTTGAAAAAGAATAAACATATATACAAAATAAACCTAAACGTTTTAATACGTAACTTTAAGCAAAAAAACAATTTCATCAAGGACATGCTATGCAGACGACAGCACTGGTTATGCCTTATATACCGGCCGTGCCAATATTTCTCGGGAAAACGTCGCCGAGTACCGGGACAAACTTGTGTCTGAAGTCGAGTCTTTGCTTAACAAAGTCTCGGATTGGGGCCGACTAAATCTTGTCCAGTTCAATCCCCAGGGGGCCTACTACGAAGTGTTTATAAAACTTGGCAAGTTCCGAGCAGTTCAGTTTCTGACCTTAAACTGAAATGCTTTATTTGGTACTATGAACTACACTTAGCTCAACTGTTTTAAACCCATATAATGACTAGCGACGACTTTGCTCACGGGTTAGCGTTGTCTCTGTCTTGTTTTGGCTAACCGTTCGAGTGAGAGGACGCTATACAAATGTTACATAAGTTTATCTCTTTAATTTTAAGGTCGGTCTTAAAGTGAAACCCATATTCTTGTAATTCTTTAATACTAAATAAATTAACAATGTATTAAATTATTACCACTTGAAATGAGGTAGGTAGTACTCGTAGAAACAAAAAAACCTTTTTTTATTGTTTCTTCGAGTTTTATTTATAAATTTACAATGACGACGAGGAACTAAAGCCAATGTGTTTTCAATTTGAGATGTGATTGATGGTGTAAAATCACTTAAGTCGAGGCGAAATTTAGTTTGTATGCTCTTTTTGAGAATTTCTTATAATATGAGCTGTGTTTGTGTGTCAAGTGGGTAATAAATTAGTTTAGTTACCATGTCCATTTTAAATGTAAACACCCTTCGTAACGTAATATTTTAATGGGATTGTGTGCTTTGGTTAAGAGTTAAGGCGAAATGTGATTTCATTACTAAACATTTGTGGTAATACTAAATTTACAAAGAAACAACTGTTTAATCATACATCACAATTCAGGCTGTAATAAATTAAACTTTCCCTTAGAAATGTTTCGAGTATTTACATTGTAGTGATTACAACTATAAAAGTTTATTCATTTATTTCTGAGTAAAATATATTACAAATCATATCTGAGTAAAATATATACATTATTAATAATCTTAAATTAAAAAACAACACAATAACTATATAAATCTAATTAAAAATGAAAACAAAAGAACAATAGTTTTAAAAACAAATAAATTTCAGGTTGCACTCCGACTTGTCCAGAGGCGATCGATAAGGTTATTTCTAACCGTAATCCCCTCTCGAAGCTCTGGATTTTGTGCGGCCCTAGAATTTACTGCAGAATCCTGGCGAGGAGTAGTCAACTGTTGCAATTCATATTCCCGCAAAGCTTCCTCTGGCTGCAGCTCTTCTACACTGACATTAGCCTTATTGCATATGTTGTGCAATATCACACATGCATTTACAATAGAAGCTGCCATGTGAGGCTCATAATGTAACACTCTGTGCACTAGTAGACATCTGAAACGTGCTTTCATTAGTCCAATTGTGCGCTCAATTACATTACGTGCTCTCACATGCATGTCAGTGTAGTATCCTTCGGGGGTGTTTGGGGGAGCATCAACAATGGGTGTCATTAAGTATCTTCTTAAGGGATACCCAGAGTCACCTGTAAAAAAGTACTAAATAATAAAAGTTTGGCCAAATTATAACCCACTTTTTTGTATATATATATCTTTTTATTATGTGAAGTCCGTACCAAGAAGCCATATTGCCTCATTTGTGCTGAGGTCTTCCATGTGTGCCTTCAAAGGGTGATTAGACCATATAAAAGCATCATGAGAAGCTCCTCCATAGCTTGCATCCACACTGATAATATCCATATCTGCATTGCATATCTAAAATATTGGTTTTAAATTATTTTTAACAACACATAATAATTCAAAAGGTTTAAGTAAATATTTTATTTATCAATAAAATATTTTGATTAAATTTGTGGTTTTGTTACAATACTTCTTACCAATTGCACATTTAAAGAATGATATTGTTTTCTGCAGTAATATCTCTCTTCGTTTTGTGAAGGACGGACCATTGCCACATGTGTACAGTCAATGCAGCCTAAAACTCCAGGCATCCCAAATTTGTTGTAAAATCTGCAAAGACATTTAATCACTTATATATAAGTCTCTGCTAACCTTGTTGCATGATATAATGGTAAATATTGCATTACCCATTTTACTAATGCAACTAACAAATATTAGTACTAATGAGCATATTATTCAAGCTCAATGGTTCATAGTGGTTGTTATTATAATCAGTTAAAATTAAATATTAAATTGGTTACCTACCTTAAAATGTTAGCCCTACGCTGTGCTGCATCTCTCGGGAATCTTATATATTTTGACCTCAATTGAGGCATGTTTAGGCCCTGCGTTACTTGACCTAAAACAGCTGATACTGTCTGTTGTGGCACGGAGTGAGCAGCTATGTCCCCAATTGGTCGCTGATACGATCCCGTGGCATAAAAAGACAGTGCAATTAAGATCTAAAATAATTATATGAAATGATCAGTATGAATTTTTTCTAAAACTACATTAAATATCACTTAGTAATTTTTTACTAGGATTAATAATTTAACTAATACTCAACCTTGGTTTCGATCGACAAATCAGTAAACTTAGCAGGCTTTGTCATAAAAGGTCTTAAATCATCACACAGTTCCAACACTAAGTTTTTGCTTAAGCGATATCTTTTTATGAATTCATCGTCATCAATCGAAAACGAGTCCATTTGGCTACGTAATATTGCCCTTTCAATTTTGTCTTCCACAATTTTGCTTTTGTTGTCCTCTTCGAGGAACTCAAAAATTTCGTATTCATCAGACACTGAAATTAATGCACAAATATTAGAGAACTTTAAGACGTACATGTAAATAATATATCACTTTTAAAGCAAAAAACCTAATTTAGCATGTATGAGTTCATGAAATACTTACTATTATAATATTAAAATATTAAACGATTCAGAAAAAGCTCCCACCAAGCACCTTTTATTGAAGTGTTTAATCTGACAGCTATACTGTTCAATAAACGGGTCACAACTCTGATACAAACGTCAAAAGTGAGTTCATAGTACCGATTTAAAACGTTGAGCTAGCTTGCCGGCCACTGAATCACTGAAATGTTTCGTTACGTCATCACAGGCTGGCCTGCAATAAGACGGGTTCGTAGTACGAAAAAGCAAGGCAGTTCAGTTTACGGTCTTAAACTGACCGGCAATAAGACTTCGTAGTAGGCCCCCAGAAGACACAAGTTTGCGCGTTTACCGCTAAAAAGAATCCCTTTGTCATATCTCCTCAGTTTCAAGGCACTTCCCTTGCTGCCTCAGCCAGTATCGGAATCCTTGGCGTCGACATATCGAATAGCGTGCAGTTTCGTGGTCACTTGGAAGGGAAGGCCAATTTGGCCTCTAAAAAGCTTGGCGTGCTCAATATAGCGAGACAGTATTTCATGCCGGCACATCGCTTGCAACTTTACAAAGCGCAAGTTCGGACCCACATGGAATACTGTACTCATCTCTGGGCCGGGGCACCCCATTGCCAGCTCCTTCCACTTGACCGCATCCAGCGCAGAGCGATTCGAAACGTCGACGACCGAGTTCTTTCTGATCGGCTCGATACACTGGCACTGCGTAGAGATGTTGCATCTCTTTGCGTATTTTATCGCATCTATCACGGGGAGTGCTCTGAGGAATTGTTCGGACTAATTCCAGCCGCTCAATTTCACCATCGCACATCGCGACAAAACTCGCGTTACCATCCATACCATTTGGATGATTGGCGGTCCACAACTGTGCGATTTAGAAAAAGTTTTCTCCCTCGCACAACTTCTTTGTGGAATCAATTACCACCAGCAAATTTTCCGGACCGATACGACTTAGGAACCTTCAAGAAAAGAGCTTAAACCTTTCTAAAAGGCTGGCAACGCATCTGCAATTCCCCTGGTGTTGCGGTTGTTCATGGGCGGCGGTAGTCACTTACCATCAGGTGAGCAGCATGCTCGTTTGCTAATAAAAATAAACCATAAAGAAGTTTTTAAAGTGTCAGCGTCAAGAAAATAACGTCAACGCGCTAATTACTTCCTAGACGAAGATTGCTCAAACGCAATTAATTTTATTACAAGGATGTTTTTAAAAGTGTATCGAACGGGCGTAGATCTTTTAGCGGTAAATAAATGCTGTGGCCGATAAAGAGCACCTTTACCGCAAAAAAGTTCTCCGAATATCGTTGCTTACCGTAGGAAATACTTAAGGATGCTATTTCACGCTGGTATTTCGTGACAGCGTGGTTCATGTTAGTCCAGTTGACCCAATCGTGCAACAGGCATAATATACTACTACAGGGCTGACGTAAATGTTATTATTTTTGGTCCCCTGCATTAAACTTTAAAAACTAAAGTTAGTAAAATTATTTTCAAAATGTACAATAAAAATAAATATAACACTGATGAGTTTTTTTTTAATTGCAGAAAAGCAACGTATGGGATGAGAACGTAGAAATTACACCGCATGCACTGCTTACAAATAATTGATAAAATATCCATTAATTTAATGAATATTATAATAGCAGCATTTTGAAAATATGATTTATCGTTACCAAAATGTACAATTGTCCTGCATCTTCTGTAGTAATGCAGCGGCAATAAATTCACTCTTTGGCAAAAGTACAAACCTTTGTTGAAATTAAATTATTTTTTGACTTAACTCAAGCTTTCTGAACGTTAAAATCTACCACCGTTTTAAAAATTTAGACTTCTATAGAGAACTGGCAAGAAACTATGGAGTGTTTAATAATGATTGCCCCAGAAAGAGGTTAATGTTTTTAGAGTCTATGTATCTATTATATGTTCATTTTTTTGGCACACAACAAATTTTTTATATCTCGTTAGATTCGTCTTAGCTGAGGAAGTTAGAAAAGATTGAAATTTTATCTCTTTTCTGTTAATTTTTTTCGCCGATCAGTTTTTTTTTAATTGGTTCAGCCCGTGGAATTGTTTTCATTTTTAATAAGAGACTAAGAAGATTATTTACATTATTTTGATCCGTAAGTGTTTTAAAAGCAAACAGTGGCAAATTTCATAAATATTTCTTGTACGGTAGATGACAGTATAATCGTCTAATTTTTATAACTGGCTGAAAACCTCACACAACGGAGTGGGAATTATGACACGGGTCCAAGAATGAATGAAGAATTAAAATGGATTCAATGCGCGATGAAATCAAGAACATACCACCAGCTAACATAGTTCATAACCATGTGATCACATGTGCATGACTACACACATTTAAAGCAAGAATTAGCTACAATTAGACACACCAGAGCATATCATCAAAGCCCTATTGGTTGTTACTATAAGCTATAATCGCCGTAGCTGCAATAGGCTTCAATGATATTATTATTAGTCGTAAACTACGACAAATAGCAAAATAACTTTATTTCGAAATCTTACATAGTAGATTTAAAACTAAAAACTAAAAGTACTCGTCAGCTTCTGTCGGTAAGAATTAAAAATTGCAATTTTAAGTCTTATACAACGTGGTTGGTGGTGAAGTAAATCATGCAGATTTTTACCGTTACAGCCTAATAAAGTCCACTGCTGAATATAGGCCTACCCCATAGATTGCTTCATAGGAGAAATATTTGCCATAGTTTCCACGCATGCCAAGCGGGTTGGCAAGCGCAGTTTTTTATTTTTAGTTGTAATTAAGAAGATGCTGCTTCCCATCTCCTGATTTGTTTCCCTCTATCGCCTCTTACGACACCCACGGGATGATATGAGATAGCGGATATTCTTACACCGCCACTTCACGGTAACTTTACTGCCGAGCAAGAGTAGTGGTAAATTACCGTTGACTGCCTCGTTGGTCCAGAAATCGTAAACGCGACTACAAATCATGTGGTCCAGGTTTTGATTCCCGGGTAAGACCGAAAGTCGTTTATCTGGTTTAAATGTCAAGAAATGATCAGTAGCAACCCGTCGTCAAGAATTAGGTGGTGTTATGCACCCCAAGCCTCAGAAAGCATTTAGATAAAAAGGTTGGTCCTGCACCTGATATCTGGTCGCGTCTGAATGCCGTTCTATTAGACTGTGTGAGGGAATGGAGAGTCCACCTGTGCTTGTACACACCCTCGTGTACCGTAAGCCTGTCCTGGGCAGATGTCAAGTCCCCATTGAGACTGGCTACCATGACCAAAGTTCGATCTTGAGTTTAAATTAGCACTCATAATTGCCATTAATAATTTAGTCGGTGCCCATAATGATCGAATTTTGCTTGCTCTCGTACTGTGAACTAGGTCGATAGGACTCCATTTCTGCCTAGAAGTCTATATGGTAAGGTACATTATATGCCGCCAATTAGCAGTGCCTGCACTATTGTACTCTGGTCTGGAGGGTATAGAGAGTCAGTTTAGTTACAGGCTGTGAGGAATTCCATTTTTGTCATCGTCTTTGTTCTGCTCTTTGTTTAATGTTGGCTACAGGTGTACCTTGGATAGTCCGTTACTACAGAAGCCACTCACTATCAAGTGGACTGTAGCTTCGTTTTCCGCTAAATAAAAATAAAATTAGGGCAAACGCTTATTACCTATGCTACTACCGTTGTTGTTTTATCATAAAAAAGAAAACAATATTTAAACGTGCAGTTTTACGTGTCATCTATTTGGGAAATGCGAGGAGGTTATCACAAGATGTGTGATTAGCTTTGTTGAAATTTAAGTAGCTGAACGCATTGCGTGGAATAGCTTTTTAATAGCAGTCTAGTAGTCCCTTTAAATGAATTTCTTCGTCATATAACTTAGGGAAGTAGGCGTTAGAGATGAAAGCTTATGTAATACAGTTTGAAGCAAATAAAAAGGCTAAAGGCGACCCAGGGACTAACAAAAACCGAACATATATTACAGTTGTTCTACTTTTTTCTTTTGTAAATTTATTTGTACGCATTTCGTTTAGTTCAAATTAATTTATTAGCCTCCTTTCAATTAATATAAAACAATTCTAAAATAATGTTAAACTAATATTATTGTGAAATTGTATAATATACAATTATATGTCTAAAATAAATAATCCCACTGGGTTTTTCGTTGGTTCTTCCCAGGACGGAGGTATTTTTAGAAACAGTAGTAAATAAATAAATTTACATTCTCAGAAATTACAGGAGGCCTGTGCCAATCATGGAACATATTTTATACTCTGTAACCAAAATACGAAGTCTGTCGTTTTCGTTTTGAATCACAAATTACAGGTTAAGCTTTCCATCTCAGCGTGTTGAACTGGCACATGGATTAAATTGAGACAGCTTCACTTTTCCAAGTGAATGCTTACGTACGGACTTAGTGATATAGTACACGTCATACGTAATATTCGGCTGTGTTCGACGTACATGTAGAACTTTCTGAAGCTCATATTGCTATGTGAATTGAATATATTGGAAAGGCGGATTCAAAGTTTAAACTCTTAAGTACAGAGCACGTACTATTATCGTATCGATTATTGTAGACACGTCAACTATTTCTCCAATATTTATGAAACTTGGAGCTACATTTGTATAGCTTAAGAACAAAAAACATGTACACGACTTTAAACAACTAATAATAATAAGCAGATAGCGACTGCATAGAAAAGAAAGAGAAGCGAAACGCTTGCTACTTCTACCAAAATCATTATATTAATAAGGAAAGATTAGTTATTACTTGAAATAAGTGGGGTAAACGACAGTAAAATAAAACCAAGTTCTGTATTTAATTATGATGATTTTAGAGTAGTAGAGCTACGCGGCAGCTTTTGCTGTCGCACGGATGGGCCGGCTCGAACCGGGGTGGTACCACGACCTCACAGAAAACCAGCGTGAAGTAGCGGCTTACCTCTGCGTTT